GATGTCGTTTCGGCCTCAAATAACTCTTTTTTTTTCCTTACTAGATACTACCTTGGGATTTTATCAAATTTCCTTCATGTTCCCTTTAGCTTGGCGCGATCAAATGTTTTAGTCTAGATTTTATTTTCTTTCAATTTTAATTTTTAATTTGAAAAAAGAAGAGAAAATTACTGGAAAACTGGAAAACAGAAAAAGAAATGATAAAAACTTATTAGCTGGCCAAGATCCCAGCCATGAAAAGCACCATTCTTAGTTTTATCATGTTCTTTTAAATGAGAGAAATTCTATTAAGATGTTCTTAACTTTTCTCGTGTAATCGGATATCGGAAAGTTTTTTAAATGAGGTCAATTTTATGTTCTGGGACTGATTTTTTTCAAATTTAATTGCAAAATTGTTTTTTTTTTTTAAGATCACTAGAATTCTTTTAAAGATGTTTCTAAATGACAAATTGATTGAAGAAAACTCATTTTTAGCAAAGAAGTTATATCCTGATCTTCAAACCACCAATGTCTCCAACCCTTTTGCCAAACCAATCAACCTGAGAGGAGTCCTGATGATGTCGAATACCTTCTCCCTTCAATACTCATCAAGCTGCTTAGTGAGTTTTCAAGTAAAGATGGAACCTTGTAATCTCTTTCCCAGCAAATTGCTCGTAGAAACAAGCATCTACATGCATAACATCACAGAAGACTGGAAGGCAGCAATAAAAGATGCTGAATCTGGAGGTGAACCAGAAATGACCGACAAAGTATTGGATTTGTGAATGCAGGAGCTGTAACCGTTGCCATGTTCTAGGATTATCATGTCCTGTTCCAGAAGTCCAGTTCAGCTTCTTCTTTTTTGTTTCCCGTTTACGATTCACAACTTCAATTTGCAGGTATAAAAAGGTGAGATTACCCTAAAGTTGGCCCTCGGCAGAAGGAAAAGCCATCCCTAGAGTAAGAACCAACCTTTTCCATGCTTCATCCAACAAAATTATTCTTTCATCTGTAAATGCACTGGTCATCATTAAAAAGAATCAGAAGGAAAGATCCTTTTCACCTTGAGCTTGGATCCACTACTAACATTTCTATTATGATAAAACCAACAAAAGATAGCTCTGACCCATAAGAATAAACTCAATTCAAAAGTTCAAACATCCCTTTTCGCCATCAAATTCAGTTTGAAATGGTCATTATTCCATTCCTGTTAGAGTTTAAACAAACTCTCCACGAAAAGGCACATAAACATATATAGTCTATCAGCTAACTGCCACGGGACATCAGAGTATAGCCATGGGCATCTCATTCTTATTGAACATATGAAAAGACTTTATTCATGGTTACAGGCAAAGCATTCAAAAAGTTACAGACAAGATCATAAGTAAAACCACAGAAATTTCATAACTTGGCAGCAGGCATGTGATAGAATGTAGCACGAGAAGTAAAGACCAACTTCTTGGTTTCCTTGATTCTGAATTCAGATGCAACTACAGTCACATTCCTTCCACTCTTCAGTACGGACCCTTCAACCAGCAACACCTCCTGCCAAGATAAATTGTTTAACTTGCATGATGGTAGTAAATTAGATAGAAACCCTGAAGCATGTGAAACCAATCTAATTATCACAAGTAAAAAAGTTACTCTAAGAAACTAATACACAGAAGTTGCAATGGCAAGTGAACGAGTTTCAAATTAAAAAACTAAACAACAAAACAAATGCAAAGGCAGGCAACTGAGTGGTGGGCAATTTTCTGAACATAAAAAATTGATTGAATTTCACTGCATCAAATTTTCTTGAGCACACACTTGCATAATCAAAGAATTTAAAATCTGGAAGACTGGTGCAACCTAAGATTGAAGAACCCCATCATTAGTGTAGAGGCTTTTCTCTATTACAAATGAGGCAAGCACGAAATGGCACCAAAAGAGGAACTCACATTTAGTTTTGCTGCAGAGAGGTAACAGATGCTTAATTCACCAAGAAAAAGTTTTTTATCATCAGCCACAACAGTTCTAGCACAAGCGATGGATGCTCTCTCTGCTATGGCCCCAACAGCGCCTCCATGGAGCCCATTATAGTAATTCTATAGCAGTTAAAAAAATAAATTGTTTTTCAATCCAATTTCTTGATGAAATAAACACGAGAAACGAGTGAGAATCTTACGCCAACAACGGGCAAGACAGGGACGATACAGGAGACATGGCCACGTTGGACATGGCCGGCTTTAAAGAGATCGCGAAAGAGATCGGAATAAAAGTCTTTAGAAGTAGAGTTTTGAGGGAGAGAGGCATGGATTCCTACGCTTTCAAAAAACCTTTTGACTGCTAAGACATGCTCTGGAGGTAAGTCTTTGGAGATGGTCGATGAAGAAGAAGAAGTTTGTGTCATCTCTCTGATTCTTGCAGTACCACAAACGTGGAATCTTCGACCACAGCCTGAAACCTGCACAAAAGTGCTACATGACAGATTGCCGCTGTGTTGGCCCTTTTTATATTGGAAAAAATCAAGCGTGGGTCCCAGACAGTTTTTTTAAGGGTTATAACTGTAAATTTGAAGAAAAATAAATTCAAGATTCAAAAGGCCTCGGTTAAAAAACATAATCAAATTAGAACCCCAGGAAATGAAAACAAATTCTGTTTATGTTGGAAAATAACAAAATTAACTAGAAAAATAATAAAATTGATAAAACAATAACTTCTAAGTATAATTCAAAAGCCTTCCTCACTACAACCAGCTAGATTGAGTCGATCTCCAAAAGGCTCGTAGAACCTTCTGGACAAATTCCTTTTTAACAGTGAAGTGCTGCCTCACTTCGAACTAATCAAATCTTGTTCGTTTTTCCTATATTTGCCAGTTTTATTTAGGCAAAGAAGGCTATTTAAAGAGCCGATGATGCCGTAATTCCAGTGGATGTGGCTTCATGAAGCTGCTCGTTCCATCGAAGGAATTTTTTGAAATCGGTTGCTGGCAGCATCTACCAACTTCAACCTCATTATAATCTTTAGTCATCGTTTGCATTTAGCAGTGGATGCTGAGATAAAAAAAAAAGGAAAACGTGTTTGACAGAGATTTATATGACAAAGATAGTACAACTATCAGGTGCTGGGTGGTGTAATGCTCTAAAAACTGGATCATGAGCTGTTGAAATTGGACAAGAGTTGGCCAGGGACTAGCTAGGGAATTCCTATACACCTGCATCTAGAGATTGTTTCCTGGCTAGGTGGGAGAGCAACTCGTGACCAAGGATCAAGAAGGTGGGGACCTACTCGATGCTTTGCAAACAGATACCGTGTCCTTTAATCAAAAGGAAATGGGTAGTCGGAATTAATAATCATACGTTTTAAAGGGCTAATTTCTGTACTCACAGTGCTCTCTGCTTCTGGTGTTCATCGAGGGACTGAGGTTTGTACTTCCCAGATGCTCCTCGTTTTATTTGGGACAGAGTCTGCTATATGACTGTACGAGTATAGGAGAGTCTTCGAAAGATACCATGGAGGTGGCGCTTTCAGGGAGACAAAAATCCCCCAAACAAACGTAAATGCTTCAGAATATATACATCTGAAGTCTTCAGGCCACACAAGTAAGTGCAGCGAGGGGAAAGGTAAGAAAATAAGAATTTTTCATTCATTTTTCTTTTTTAATATGTGTTTATATATATACATACATACATACATATATATATATATATATATATATATCTTAAGACAGCCACCTAAGATGATTTTTTTTTAATATACTAAATTGATGTAAATAAATGCTCACACATTTGTTAGAGCATCTCCAATCCAAAATGATATTTT